CCCAAATGAAAAAACAATGTATAGCTGGTTTCTCATGATACTGTAGTTTGATGACTGCTTTAAAGAGGCAGTGCTACCACAGAATTAAGTATTATTTTCTGTGAACTGCTCCTGACTTTTTCTGTGCCAGCACACATCCATTGAATCATGTGAAAATGGAGACTGTAAGGAGCTTAGGGAAGTCTCTCTTGGCCACACCACCATACAGCCATAAGAAAAGTTCTGAAGGCAGAGGGTATGAAGTAGGCAGAAATGGATACCAGAAGTTGGAAAGGTTGATCGTTTTCCCTGGGGGGCAGTTCTTTTTGGAATCCTTTTATCAGATTGATTCATTTTTGTTTGGCTTGGTATCTACAGTACTATTTTCTTTGCTTATGAGCCTCTGAAAGCAGGAAGTTTTTAACTGTATTTGCAAAAAACATTTTAGACCTTTCTTTTGTTCAAAGTAGTGCACATGCATTTCTTGTTTGTGGCCTAACTCTGGGGCAAATTGCTTTGTCATCATGATCAAGGGCATATGGTTAAATTAGAGGGTAAAATGATTCAGATTTGAAATTGAGAATTGAGATAATCTCTCCATAAATAGATCAGAATATAATTATGCATTTTTTAAAAATCTAATGTTTATGGTTAATTTGGAATATATTATTTGCACATGATCTATGTTCTTGTGACCTTTGTGTTTCTCATCAGGAGAACTGGATCCAGAAAGAATGGGCTCAGGTATTCAGTATGGAGATGCTGCCTTGAGACAGCTGAGGTCACCACGCAGAGCACAAGCACAAAGTGCTCAAGAATGTGGGTGTTAGAGAAACAAAACACAAGATCCCAAATACTTACTTTAGATACAGAAGGTAAGGCTACAAAAATCTTGGGGTGGTGGGCAAATTAGCATATTTCATGAATGTACTGTATTGGGTGCTTGGCTTTTTCACAGTTAGCCTGTAAAGTTACAGAGAATCGCTTGAAGTAATGCACATCTGCTGGGGAGACTAGTGCTCTTACTGAAGTATTTCTAAATCTTAGCTTATTCTGAGTAATGCTGTGGAAAACATTTTAAAATTCTCTATTCCTGAGATGCATTATAGGCCTAATAGCTGCCTAATGCACTGTAGAGAAAGTGAATCAGTTCTGTTGCATTGGAAACAAACATTAGTAGAAGTAAGCATTCACAAAATGTATGGTACAGTATCTTGTCCTAAGCTATTAAAAAGTCTTGTGTGAAACTGAGGGTTAAACACTGAGATTTGAAAATTAAAGATAACACTGAATTTCAAACTTCCACTGACTTTTTTGCCCCTACTTAAAAGGACTCTGAAGTGATTCTGATTCCTGTCTGCCATTACCAGAAATGTAAACAAGATAATAGCAGTATTTGCTGCTTAAGCGGTGTTGCCATCCAAAGTAGTTCTTCTGGGGCTGTTCCAGCCTAGGAAATAGGTGTGCAGTGTTCTAAAGTTATTTTAAAGATGTTGTTCAGAGAAAATGAGGAAAGAATTTTTCCCTTTAGCAGTTGTAGGGGAAGAGAAATAAAAGTCACATAATCTCCTAGGAACAGCTCAGTGGTTAGTCTTTCTTATAAACAGTTGTCCTTAAGACACTTCTCAACAGTCACTGGATTTCACATCACTCCTTGCAGCATGCAGTGGCTTTCAGGACAGTCTTTTCTCCCTGTGCAGTTAATTATTCTTCTATAATGAATCCTTTTTTCTGTAATACAAGGACAGTGATAGCAAGTACTGCAGGCATAGTTACTGCATCACTTTTACTGTATTCATTCATCAGCTTGAGCAGTGCACACAGCAGAAGCTTCATGGAACATTAAATAAGGCAACACATAATTCTACATTCTGGTATTTTTTTCCTATGATCTAAGAGCTTAGCTCCAAATTAAAGCCCAGAGTTTTAATAATGAATAGGAATCCTTGAACTGCTTTCCTCCTATAAAATGCCATTCTTCAACTAATAGACTGCTAGAAAAAGGCTTTAATTTAGTTCAGCTTTGTATGACTCTACAGAAATGAATATTTATTGATCTTATTTCAAGAGCTCAGTTTTCAGATTGATCAGATATGGATAATTAATGGAGTTCTTATATATTTTACAGCTGTCCTTGCAAATGGTGTTTGAAGAAACAGAAAAGCTTGAAGGCTATGCAGTTTTTAAAAACATCTTTCCACTATCTAAAGACAGAGCTGACCACTGCTGACAGAAAGGTGTCCTGTGATAGGGAGCAGGAATATGCACAACACACAAGTCTGCAAAGTGAACTGGATAGTTTGTGGACAATATTAAGGCTCATACCTGTATGTAAATGTTTTCCATTACCTGTTTTTGTTCTTTCACCTCTAGTTTAAAGCATTGCAATGTACTGTAAATAATGTAACAGTAAATTTACAAAGCATGGTATACTTATGTATGCTATTAGAATGTTGCACTATAAGCAGTTTAATATTTTATTTTTTTATTGTATAAACAAATTTAACTGAAGTAGGCTTTGTCACGTTTGTTTGTTGCATAATAGTTTGTATTTACAACCTGAGTTATAAAACCACTGGCAACTGTCAGTGAGAGGTTGTTGGTTTATTTTTTCCTATTCAGTTGCCACATTCTAACAAACTGTTGACAGGATCAATTCTTAATGTGTGGTTATGACCCATAGTTCTGTATCCTGATATGTCAAGTTGGAAAAGGCAAGTTAAAGCACAAGAGCAGAGCAAGAATGCTACACTGAGCTATATCATCTTTCATGAAATTAGAGTTCTGTTTATTCCCTTTGTCCTGACATTTTTGGTTCAAATGGATGCTTATCTGAAAAGTATGCACTTTAGGTTATCTCTGAATTAAATGGAATTAAGCATGCTTTGTACTTGAAAAGCCTGGGTTTAGGTTTAAAAAGGCTGTTGGGTCCAAAAATTTTCATGTTATGTCACTCCTCTCTGATTGTTGTATTTAGGATTGGATTTGTTGCAGAACTGATAACAATTATTCCCAATGGTATTCTCTTCCTGGTAAGAGTGTGAAGTGTTTTTTGAAGCAGCATAACTGTATTTTCAAGAACATCAGAGAACTCCAAAGAAACTTACCTGTCTTAATCCTTGTTCAGTTCAGTTTGGCTGTCAGAACTGCAAAATGCTTACCAGATCTCTGGAGTAGGACGTTGGATGGAGCTGTCTCCTCCACCAGTCCACATAGCCAGTTATTAACTGGGACATGTTATCTGCCAGAGCTGCAGAGAGTGTTGGTTCCAAAACGGCAAACCAGTTCTGGAATGCTGGGAAAAGATGTGGTACTGGGTAGTCTGTTCCACCACACACCATTCCACAACCCAATCAGGACAAAAGCTGAGCATTGACACAGCACAAGCAGAACTAAAGGTTGCTCTCCTGGCACTGTTAGAGTGGTGGAAGAGGTGTTGGCTATTGATCAAAACCTCTTTCCCATATTACAGAAGCAGTTGGAAGGAGGAGAGGACTGTTGCTTATAAATAGAAATTTCAGGGGTTTCACAGGGATTTTCTTCTACTTCTTTCTTACGATCATTTTGGTCAAGTGTCTCTGGTTTAAAAAGCAGTAAGCAATTTTATTCTTTCAGTAACTGTCTTAAAGCTGTCTCCTTCCTCTCTGGAAGGAAAGAATAGTGTCATTATAATGAGTTTGGACATTTTTTTACCATTTTCTAATGTATACTCTCACTGTATACACATTAACCTGGTTAATGTGCATGTTTTGTAGTATCTCAGCCTTTTATGCTGCATATTTTGCTGACATTCTAAAAAAATTTTCTAAAATTGCAACTCCTTAGAGAAATACTGTTGGAAGCAATAGCTCTCAGCAGTGCAAACTCTTATTGTTTACTATTGCTCCTCTGAGGGTCTTTTATTTCTAAAAATAAACATCATGCCAATATCAGCCCTGGAGCAGATTTCCTTTAGCATTATAGTTGACACAGCAAATCAAACCTAGCTCACCTGAACAGTAAGTCATAAATAGGCTATGTATGTTTCTAGGGTAAAATTCTTACTTTACCAAAGCAAGAGTGGTGGGAGTTTTACATGAAATACCACCAGGTACCTATATCTGAGGTTTCATTAGATGTGGAGCTTTAGCTGTTCAGCCCATTAAGAAATTTAAATGTCTTATTAAAGCCTGTGTCTTGCCTTTTAATGAGTCTATTGGCCTACACTATTTCATTTAATGCTTGTATCTAGCACCAAATAAAGATTCTTCCTTGATTTTCTTCCAGCAAATCCTGTTTACTTGTGCAAGTTTTGTCCGTTAAGTGAAGTCGATAACATGACTATTCAGCAACTCACATAGAATTCACAGTTGCCTCATCTTATCCATTCTTTGTATTCAAATAGGTATGCAGTATGGCTCAAGAGTTCCCTTAAGACCTATAAAAAGTGAATGCCATAGAAAAACCTGATTAGACTGTGCACCTCATTTCCATTAGATTTTATGTACTGGAAGAATCAACGCTATAAAAATCTCAAGAAATACATTATAAATTCAGAGTAAAAATAGTCTCATTCCTTTACTGAAGAACCCATAGCATAGAGAACTTCAGTGCAGCCAGCTTTTAAAAGCTTAATTTTTCCTGTTTGCATGAGTATACATGTTATTAGTGATACAGCTTCCTGTTTTTTCTCTGTTATCCTTTTCCATCCAAAGCTTTACATTTATATTCTCAAAGGCATAGCATTTCAGATAGCTAATAGAGCTGGGTTTTTTCTTATCATAGTAGGGAGAAAAAAGTGATTTGAGTTGGAAAAGGATGTTGAGAATCTCTGATAGAGTTACAAGAGGAACATAAGAGGCTGGAATGGTAACTCTAATCTTAAGTTCATACCCAACCTTAGTCATTACAGAAGTCTGTCACATTCCAGGAGAGAATTATCTGGGACAAGTAGAAGCCATAGTTTGCATGCAGGGACTAAAGTACCCAGTAAGTGGGGAAAAAAAAAAAATCTGAGATCCCAAAAAGCACAGTACAAGCAGTCCAGGCACTTTGTGTCACTCATTTTATTCACATATACAAGTTGACACTACACTATTAATAATAGACAATACAGAAGCATTAAAAACAAATACTGTTTAAAAACTTTAAAAAAACACATATTGCTTCAAGCTTAGATGGTATTTCCCTACTGTTTTTAAAGTGAATTCAGTGCTAACAATAGCTGAGGCAGCTTCCCATTCACTTGTACCCCTAATTTCATGGGGCTGCTTGTCAAGGTGTTGAGTCATGCTCCATTTATGGCTTTGCTGCTGAGTGCACTAACTGAGCTGGAAAAGAAACTGGAACATCCAGGTTACCACACATTAGGCCCTCAGATTGCTAGCATTTGGTCCCTATCACAGTAAAAAAAAAAAAAAAAAGTAGTCAGAGAGGCCTTTATAATTCAGTGGCACTACATTATACCATAAAAAATGAGTACAGATACACTACCCTATGTGTTAAAAATCCAATTTAAATTTCCATGTGCTACCTGGATAAAATTCTTACCAGAAACTGTCCCTCGTTTTTGTTAAGGTTGGCTTTAAGTTTAGCTATCACCTTGACTTCTATCTCAGCTTCCTGTGAAAAAGTTTGTATTTCATAGTTGCAAAGATGTGACAGCAGTGACTGAACAGGCATGCTACTGTATTTTACAGTACATTCTTAAGCAGTTTTCATGGTAACATTTTACACTGTAAACACTAGTCTTCACAACACTATAGTTAAACTGCAGCATTACACATTGTAAAACTCTTGCTTCACTTAGCTAAGTACTTTCAGAAACAAAAGAAGAAACAGTCATTTTAATGAAGACTTTGGACAATTAAGTATTTACTGTGTTCTTACCAAAGAATTTTACTTCTAAAACAGGAGTGAGAAGTGTTCACCACTTGGCTAAATTCAAGAGTCCATGCAAGACAAAGTTTAGAAATTCCTTAATTGATAGGGAGACATTCACTAGCTTTTCTACTTTTCAGTGAGTCCAATTTGAAGGAAATGGCCACCTCCTGTAGTAATCTATAGAATACACTTAAAGCTTTTACATCTGAAAAGTTTCGCTTTACAATTTAATTGGTAACTTCAAAACCCAGCAGTTTTCCAGACCAAATACTTTTCGCATAGAGCTTGCAGTGATCAGAACTATACTACTTCATGTAGTCTATGCAAAATAGTAGCTTTTTAGTCAAGTAATGCCCAAATGCAGGAAGGCTACCTGATTTGCAGAATAATTTACCCTCACTTCAGGCATTGTAATTACTTAAACCCAGATAGTACCAACATAGCACCCAGGATTGTTTTGGCTACAGACCATTTGAAAAAGCACAACAATGACTCACAAGACCTTGTTAGTGTCTCTGCTGTCTCTAGCAAGTGGTCTTTGTGGGGAACAGCTCTTGACCAGACAAGGATTAGGACTAGACAATTTCCTCAGTATACAGCAGCCTTGATGCTGTAGAAAAGTCTCATTTGATCACCTGAACAGGCCTGTTGGAGATGGTTTAAGTTTGGTTCCCCTATCCAAGGCAGAAGACACTTAGGCCTCCTATAATTACTGAAAACATCAACACAATGGGAGATACATCTTATCCAAACACAGGTACTTAAGACAGGCACATAGTCATCCTGGCTCCTCCATTCCCTGTGGGAAGAGAGAACTGTAGAAGCTATCTTCAAAAGCATGGCAAGATGAATCCTGCCCTGCACAGTCAAGGGAACTGTTGAATGTGACAAAATACACTGAGGGCACAATCCATCTGCTGTGGTTACATAAAGCCTACAAAGCCTGGGGGCGACAGGAACAGGCAAGTTTTTATTGAATAAGGCTGTTAAACACTACTGAGCTGGTGCTTTGACACTGTTGTGCAAAGCTTGGGTGGCTTCTGGAATTGCAACAGCATCCGAAGCAAGCTAAGCATATTTACAGCAGTTATTTAAAGAGGAAAACACAGCATAAAAGGAAATCAAAATAATCTCATATGGAGTAAAGGCATTCCCTGGAGTAGTTTTTGGGCACTGTTCTAAAGTTTCAGGAAGTTCTAGCCTGTCGTTTACTTATAAGTTGAAATACAGTGATTTTGCTGCATATGAAACAATCATGCTGTGCTTTCCCAGACTTAAAAGCTGTAAGATCTTAAATAGGTAGCCTTCAGCAAGAGTTGTCTGTATTTTTATAGCTTTATGCTTAAAAGGCTGGTTAAAAAAATATCATGATTTCATGGATTCTAGGATATTTTAACAAAATTTAAATTGTGTGTGATGAAACCTTTAGTGATGTAATAGACACTAGGAGGCAGCAGTGCTTGGACCCTTTGTGCAATTACTTTCTTCAAGAACACAATCAGACTTTTCGCTAAGCAGTGTACTCTGTTGCAATAGTAATTCTAGAGTCCTCCTTACTCACTGAGATTGTGGAATGAAGCTAAAACTAGTGCAGGTTTCTGCTGCAGAAGTGCAAGTATGCTTCCTGTGGGAATGTGTCCAACCTGTAAAACACAAGCTTCAAAACAATTAAACTGGGATAACCAACATATGTAACTAAAACACAACATATCTGAACAAAACTTTGAAGCTCACAACTACAGCAATCATCTGCCTAAAGCATAGTTAGCAAACTGAAAAAAAGATAATTTACAGCCACCTGAGGGAAACAAAACCACCAAGGATATCACAATGACTGTCTTACTATCTAGAAGTAGGACCTACAAAACAAAAACGTTCAAACTTCATTATATGTTCTTGTTTACTAAAGGATGCATTCCTTTCCCTAGCCCTTACCCCCTCCCCATCCCCCCATAAATGAGGGGTTCTGCACCAATTTCAAGAGGCAGCAAGTTTCTCAGGATGTCATCTACAAGTTTTATCAATACAATTTTCAAGTTTAAACCCTTTAACAATATACTTGTACAATACCTCCAAGCGGAATGCATATTGCACTCTGACCCCCGCTGAGCATTAATAGATACTCTGAAGTGTTAAAAATAGACCTCACCAGAAAGGAGCCAGCCCTCTCCTTCAATAAATGCATTTACATGATTAAGTACAGACTAAGTGTGACCACGAGATTAGTACAGTGGTACAACTCTATATTTGTAGAACAAGTAACTGCTTATTGAGTGGCAGCTATCAGATAATGATTGTCTACATTAGTTATTTGGTACAACAGGAACAGCTACAGCAAAACAATCCTGTAGCTGTTTCTTGCCCTGAAAATGACCGATTTATTCTAATGACTTTAGAAACAGTGACAAAAGTTAGCATCAGCAGGTTCACTAACCAAACAAGGTTGTTTTTGTTTGGGGTCTTTTGCTGCTATTTTTAAAGTTTTTGTGTACAGACAATACTTGGTATTTGCCTGCCTAAAGCATCAACATTTATTAGTGCTAATTACCAGGCACACTGGCTTCCTGTTGCCTGTCTTCATATGCTTATTTTCACAGAAGTGTTAAATATTTTTATAAATACAAAGGCACCTCCATCAGTCCTTTAAAGTCTTTCCCCAATACCATCTCCCCATGACTTGAACTTTAAATAAGGGAAAACAGATTACTTGTAACCCTGATTTAAAAAGTGTTTGCTTTGACACCATATATGCTAAGGTTCTCCCTCCCACCCTCAAAACAAACTAACTGAAGCATTAGAAAAATTCCCAAAAGGGGAATTGTTTAAAAGTTTGGGTAGTTATATCTAAAAGCCTCTTCAATGTTATGGCTCCAAGGATACACCCCACTGTGAGGTAGGTAGCCAAGATAAAAACATTGTAACAAATATTTTAACAGCTGGAAACTCTCTATAAAAACCTTGCATAAGTGGTTTGGTTCCTTGCACCAGTGTCCTGATATGCGTAACTTCTTCTGAGGATGCCTGTGGGAATCCAGGTTCAGAGAGCTCTTGCTGAGTAGCATCTCATGTACTCTGTCATCCAGGGGTTGTCTGCTGGGGAGGGCTTTGTTCGCCAGGTGTTTTCTGCCTCTGCTGACCGCACTCGCCTCTGAGAAAGCTTCCTCTTCTCCACTTGTCTCCTGTTCTTTGCTCGCAGAGCAGATTCGTGGATCTAAAAAGACCAGAGTTAGTACTATGGCAGAACAGCCTAGGAACCCCTCAGGAATGACAAGGAACATTTTTTATGTGTCCCAGTCCCCATCCTGAAGGAACAGGGATTGTGAGCAAGGTTAAATTTTCTTCTCTAATTCGTACCACTAACTGAACATAGATTTCTTTTTCTTCATGGAAAGTGCTTCAAATTCTATTCTGCATTGTCTTTCACACTCCCAACTATTAAATGATTGCAAAAGTCTTGAATGTTTCATAGTCTTACTCAGATATATTCTAAAAACTTCCGTTTTCTATTTCTATAATTTAAAATCCTAAACACCCCTCAATATGCCCAAGCATCCCTTAAAACCTAAGCCATATTAGCAACACCAAACACTTTAGGATTCCTTAGAGACCTAAGATCTCAATTTTGAGCAATGTGCTGAACACACTATTACATACTTTTAATATTAATAAATTATTATATTTCCCCCAAAATTTAATATTAAGAACCAGTTTCTATGTTTGTTTGCTTCTCTGTCCAGATTGAAAACTATCTCCCATCTCAGTTCAGGGAAAGTAACACCTTTCAAACATTCGAAAAAAAGTAACTTCAGCAGACAGTAAATAGTCAGTTGCTACATAAAGAAACGTCCTCAGCAACAAAACACTACATAGTTGGCATTGTTTCAGAAATGTCCTGCCTGTTCAGTCCAAATTCAGAACCTGAGGTGTTCCATTACTGTTTCTTCCATAAGAAATGTTAGAAGTCTAAGATGAAGTATAATTATATCTGCTCAAATCAGGCTTCAGCCTCTTCTAGGCTTCAAAAAAAAGCACCAGTCAACTATTTTGAGCTTATCAATTCATCATTAATGTTCATTATCAGGAAAGGCAGCTTCTTTCCAAATCTGTATGGGCCAAGTTCCTCCTTTTGCTCAAAGGTTTGAGCTATCCAGGAAGAAAAAGCCTGGGCTTCACACCCCTTCCAAAACAGCCCATCAAATGCCAGCTTCATCTTGCACAGCACGACCACTCCCACCTCAATCCTCATGTATCTTGTGTCACAGATTCAGACTGTACATTAGAGGTAAGATAAGGACAAGACACTGGCAGGGATGCATTAACGATTATGTTTTACCAGCCTAGGAGAATTACAGCCAAGAAAAAATGGATCTAACACTCCCTTGCTGTTTCTAAGCTAGAAAACAGAGCCCCAGTACCACAGAATCCTGGTGCTGTCCATGACCACATGAATTTAATTTGTGCTATCTTGGTAATATTTATACCAGCCCTGTAATCCATCAGCCATCTGATAGACCATTCTGGTGCAAGCAGTATTTCCTACTGGCAAGCTGCCAAAACAGGCTGCTAGACAAGACATCTTAGCAGAAAAGCACTTGTACCATCTCAGTGAGGCTCCTAGTCTAGGAAGTGCCCCAGCAAAAGTCACTCTTTCACAGCACAAGCGCTACTCCAGTGTTCTATACCTGCATGCTGTGGGGTGCCTGGTGCTAACTGCCTGTCCTTCTCTTGTTTTCACCGAGTTCAGAATGCAGAAATACTTTTATAACAGCCAGTCTTGCTGGAAACGCTGTAACAGCCAGAAACAAGACAGCCAGATTTTAATTACAACTTGTAACTATTAGTCAAACCTGGAAGTTTCCAAACCAGCCGTAAAGAACTCTTATTTGGACATTTCAAGAATCTTCAGGTTTATTGCTAGAATCTACTGCTGGAATCTCCATACATTCAAATAAAGGGACCCCTGTGAAGTTTTTACCTAGACATTAAGCCATCTCTAGGCACTAAGTAGTCACTGCCTTTCAATGAAACAGAAGCTCTTACTTACTTCATTCACCGAAGCAGAAGCACAAACATTGTGAGTTTTCTGGCTCCCAGTATCCGTCTGTCGTTCTCCCCACCCATACAGAGCAAATGGATGTTTATTTTCCTTTGGTGCATCTGTCCTTTGGGGACTTTTAGCTGATTTTCGATCATTACGACTGGACAAGGCACTTCGACTTGGACGTCGTCCTGTACGGCTGGTTTTGTCTGCTTCCTTCACAGAAGTATGTTCTACAGTTTTCTCTTGCTCTTCCTTCTCCTGCTTTTCTTGATCTTCTTTTTCTTTCTCTAAAGAAAAAAAAGTTATGCTTTAAATTCCCAATGACAACATATTAATGTTTGATTTGCACAGCCTCTCAAAACATCATTGAAGCTGTGCTTTTTTTAGAAATTCAAGAAGTCATTGCTTCCTTAGCAACAGACATATACCTTGCTTAAATGTCTTCATGCTTTCTTTAGTGACTAAAATACAACTTTCACATACTTAAAAATGCCTTTCAGTGGTGAGGTTACAGATAGCCAACAGCCTCAGGCAGAACTTAAAGACTGTTTCCAGTGATCTACTGTCTTCACTATTTCATCCTTGCATCTCTCAGACAGCAAACAGATGGAACACTGAATGCCACAGATGCTGCTAGCCAGTCAGAGATGAAGTCTGTTAAGAGTATGTGCAATATTAAATCCTTAATATTATCACTTTCCGCTGAACAAGGTGATTCATTCTCAAGCCCCCTGTTTATATGTGTATCTCTGCTATGGTTTTCTGCTTATGAAGGAGAGGAGAGTGTGAAGCAAAATCCCACAAAGTGGTAGACATCACCTTTGCTACCTGATTGGTGAATTACACTATACATCTAAAGTACCACACTCTGCAGGCATTACCTTCCAAGGCTCATTTATCCCACACATTTAAGCCTGCATAGCAAGGGGCCAGCAATAGTCCTCCAGGCACTGGATATGGAGAGTAAGGTTTATGAGAGAGAATTTAAAGGCTGAATCACTGCAGTTTTAGATCATCACTGGAGGCTGAATCAGACATTATATAAAATATTAATTAATTAATAAAAACACAAAGAAACAACTGCTCCATGAGAGCAAATCTTCTTGCCCTATAGTGCAAGGAAGAAACTAGTTTTCCTTTGTTTGTGGCACCAGTGATGCCACACCTCAAATCGTCTGTTCAGTCCTGGGCTCCCCACTACAAGAATGATGTCAAGGTGCCGGAGCATGTCCAGAGAAGGGCAACAGAGCTGGGGAAGGAGCTGGAGCACAAGTCCTGTGAGGAACAGCTGAGGGAGCTGGAGTTGTTTGGCCTGGAGAAAAGGAGGCTCAGGGGGCACCTTGTCATTCTCTACAACTGCCTGAAGGGAGGTTGTAGGTAGAAGTCAGTCTCTTCTTCCAGGTAAGAAGTGACAAGACAAGAGGAAATGGCCTCATATTGCATCAGGGGAAGTTAACACTAGACATGAGGATAAAGTCTTCACTAAAAGCCTTGTCAGGCACTAGAACAGGCTGCCCAGGGAAGTGATTGAGTCCCCATGCACAGAGATACTTATAGACATGGCTTAGTGGTGAATTTGACAGTGCTGGGTTAATGGTTGGATTCAATTTTAAAGGTCTTTTCCAACCAAAATAATTCCATTATTCTACAATGTGCAAGTAAATCAAATATATTGGTTACAGTACATAAGTGAAATACGATTGGAAAAAAGTACAAAGAAAGAACCTGTTTTCATTCTCCAACCACTGGTTGAGAATCCATTTACTCTAGCACTCGCTTCACATTTACAGGGCAAAGATATTAAGGCTTGTTCCATGCCCCAGAATTCCCCTAAGGCAAGCCCTATGCTCTCTTGCAGGCTGTTAGCCTGCCAGCACGGTTTCTATTGCTCCCAAGCAGCACAGAGGCCCTGGTGTGGGCCCTGTTCAGGCTTGCCTGTACCCATCCTCCAAGATGTGCAGGTGTAGCATTTATCTACAGGTGATACTGCAGTACAGCTGAGTATTTGGTAAAGAGTGGCCAGCAATGTTAAAGTACTTAGAGCTGTATTTGTTAAGAATTCAGTTGAATGACACCACAAAACAACCAAAAAATAATTAGTCAAGGCCAAAATAGTGGCATAATTAGAGTAAAAATGGCTAGATTAATTTCACATATCTAAATATTGGCTGGATTTAGTTTCAGTTATTATAGACAAGGCTGGTAAAAGACAGCAGCAGTGAGCTCAATGTGGTATTAGACTTGTTTTCCCTGGGCTCTGGGACACACAGCTTCACCTCTGAAACAAGGCAGCTCATTCATCATAGCTGCAAACAGGCAGCACAGAGTTATCCCCTTACAAAATATTATCTGAGCATCTCCCTACACAGCCACTCCAAAGCAGGGATTGCCTAGGTCCATTATCAGAAGGAAGCGCTGTTTTGAGAAAATTAAACTCTGAAAGGAAACATATTGCTGTCAATTCTGCAACAAGAGTGCTTTCATTTTGGAAAGCTGTTCCATCTTCCATTCAAGGGAAAATGGCATCTTTCTTCTATGCAAAGGGGGATGGAGCAACACTGACTGCATAAACAGCAGGAGTGGCATTTAGAGACTTAAAAATACAGGAAAGTGGAGGCTCTGCAATTACATGGAGAGTTCAGCTTATAAAAACAAGGCAACAGCCATGCCTGGGGATGCTGCTCACCAGGATACAGCTCCAGCTGGTCCAGAAATGATTGAGCCAGCTTGTCCCAAAATAGCAATTAAAGCATATGGGTAAATGGCACACAGAGTCCTGTGCACAGCCTTACAGTAAATGCTATATGCCAGAGTGTCCTGTAGCACTTATGAGCACCTGCTATTACAGCAGGTATTTCCATGAACCCACTGCTACAGTGCATTTACACAGAACTCAGTGAAGACACAAGACCTCTAACAGTTATTTAAGCCTTTTATTTAAAAAACAGATTTTATATCCAAGCCATTTTCTTAGGCAATACTTCTCACACTAAGTCAGAAGAGCATGACTTAGACTCAGCTTCTCAGAAGGAAGTCCAGGCACCAGCAACTCCTACCCATCTTCTCCTTCCCATGCAGAGCTTCATCTCCAGCAGACACAGGAAACCCAGAACTGGCCTGCTTGCAGCATTACAGGGATTAGACAGGAGAGGGGAAAAGCTAGAAACGTTTAAAACTGCATCATGGATGCTAAGCAGAGCGCACTGGATGGACAGGAGGGGATTAAGTGCTTAACAGGCAGAACAAGTCTGTCAGGCCCACCCAACACGGCTGCTGAAGCTCCTGCCCAGAAGAGGTCACTTAAACCCTGCTGCATCGCCCCGCTTGTGTAACAGCTCCGCTCCTGGATCAGGAGGGAAGAGATCCAGGGAAGCTGCTCTACCCCCATCACTGCACGCCCCGGGGGGCACACAAGACCCCCATTTCAAAGGCCCTGATGGCTTCCTTCAGATATCAACAGCCTTCTGGTTAGACCCACGGGCAGGTCACAGGGGTCAGCAGTATTATCTCTGTATAGAGATGCTGCCTCCTTACAGCACTTCCTCAGCATCAGGAGAAGCACTTTGTGCTTGCATTGCTGCCAGCACAACTGGAAGTTTCCTGCTTTTGTACCGACACCTCTCCAAATGGGGCAGGTCTCCCACACCTCTTGAAAGGGCTATAGTACCAGCTGTGGGTATCAACAAATTACAGCTGGGTAGAAAGTAAGTTACTGTGGATGAAACAGATTGCAACATCATTTCTTCAAGGCAGATCTTGCGCGAGGCAATACTGGAGCTAGCAGCCACACAGCAGCTCAGAGCTGATTAGACCCACACAAGCTTCATCTGCAGCAGAGTTTGGAAAGTAATTACTGGATTGGCTTGATAGCAAAGCTTGTTTCCAAAAGGAAAAGAAAAAATGGGAACAACTTTAAATAACAGTACTATAAACCCTTGAATTGACACTCTTGCCTTCTTCCCCCACGACAAGCTGCTCCTACCCACATACATGGGCCAGCAAATGCACCTGCAACACGATGACAGACAAGATCAGGGAACAAGTTTGAAATTGGATCTTCTGTTTAGCTCCACTAATCCAGATCAGTCACTTTCCAAATACTATTGAAGCAACTCCTTCAATGGCAGCTTGTCACTGCTGTCACTTAAGACCACTGCACAAAAATGCTGAAGGCAAAATGGCAATAAGGATTGAAAGATGCCTTCATCCTACATGTGTGTGCAGCAGCGTCATTTCACAAGCAACAGGTCTGACAGCAGCACTGCTGCCAAGAGCTTCTGTCTTCTACTTACCAGCCCACTGGCTTCTGTTGACAGCTTTGAGGATGTGTCTACACCACAGCTACACCAGTTGATTTAGGTCAAGATTTTGTGGGATTACGTTTAAAGCACATCTGTGCCTGGGCACGTTCCACAGAGCAATCCCACAAACAGCTGCCACAAGTGGAGGGCCACAAGGAATTAACCCAAAGTTGCCCCTGAGCACACCTTGGTATCACTCAGCCATAGCCTCAGTGCAAGACACAGTGACAAAGCATCTTTGTCCTACGTGCTGCGCCAGAGGGTCACACTGTTAGTGCTCTAGACCAACACCACTGAACATTAAAGCCAAGCTGCCTACATCCACTTCGTCTTCACACATCAGAAGCATTCACAATTTTACAAACACACACAGGCTCATTTCAATGAGACAGAGAGAAAACCAGGGCAGCACATGCCATCATGAGCTATGTTTACCTCAGATATTAAACAACATTAGTGCTGACTAGCCATCTTTGGCAACAAGCACTGTCAAGTACACTCAGTCAGAAATCAGATTCCCCACAAAACAGCAGGAAGCAGCAGTAGCCAGGTAACAGCTAGGATGTTCCAGCATGTGGGTGGATGTCAGATTCAGAAGACAAAAGATGTCATCAACATGAGCACACTCAGCTACTCCCACAGCGCTTCAGCGTAATTAAGTTCTTTCAGAGTTTAAAAAAAAAAAAAAGGCAGTTTAATAGTAGAAGTTACTAGACTGGTAGTTTCTATCTTATCTCCTCCAGATACCTTAATTAGCCAGCCACTAAGCAGAAGAAAAATGCATCCTTATAATTGTCCAATACTAAATGAGTCACCTCCTTATATATTACATGCGCATTAAGATACAAAAAATATCAACTAAATCCAGCTGCCTAAGCAGAGTTGTTTTCAGTCCTTTTGCTAAAGGCTTAGCAAAGTTCTTAAATACTTGCAGAAGTTTAAAAATGTTTATCCTAAGCCATTTGGCAAAGAAGTGAACATGAAGTACAGATTTTTCTCCCACTACAAATATAAAATAGCAAGGACCTAACAGAACTTTAGGCATTCCCTTACAGCATCCATGGCAAAGGTGTATCAGTTACAGAAGCACAGTTGCCCAAACCTCTGCAGCCTGGCAGGCCACTGGTGCTCCACAGTCCCTTTGCCACTGCTGCGAAGGACACCGTGCACTGAGGACACAGCTGGAGGCACTGGACAGTCACACACACCATCACTGACCACACACAGTGCCTGCACAGCTCCCAAGCTGGTGTTCCCTACCAAATCCCAACCAGAATCAGACTACCAAGTAACTCCAGCCAGATCTTTCCCTAGAGAGGAGTCGGGGAGGGAATCAGGGAGAGGCTAATGTGTGAGCAGAGCACCCTGGCCAGCAGGCTCTAACCTTGGCAACTGCCATTGCCATTAGATTGCAGCAGGTTTACGTGTTCTATCCATAGGCTCTACAAGAAGAATGAAAAGAAATTCAGGTCCCTACCACAACTGCCCCAGGTTTCTACATATTCAAAGTGCATCAGAAAAGTTGTGAATACCAGGTTCTGAGTGCAGCTTCAACAGCTTCCACCTTCTCTCACTAAAAGCCAAGCTTTTAGAGATCATCACCTTTTCCCATGCAACCACTCCCTGATCTTTTGCAATTCCTTAGTTCTTCTCACTCTAGCTCTTCCACACATGCTCCCAGTCAAACTTCCTCAAGGCCTGATTGAGGGAAGCAAAATTAGGCCCACTAATACTCTGTTACATACTGGTGAGCAGGGATGCTTCCATCTCTGCACAGCTATTGTGATTTAACCTTAGCCAGCAACAAAGTATCACATAGCCACACACTATGAAGGGAAGAATAACACCCAAGAGAAACTAGTGATGCACAGTCAGTGTCTCCTGGGGAACTCTGCCCAGTTTATACTCTGGGCATGACTTTCTGGCTATGGAATATCCCTTTGGCCAGTTTGGGGCAGCTGTCCTGGCTGTGCTTCTTCACAGCTTCTGGTGCACCTGCTGGCTGGCAGAGCTTGGGAAACTGAAGCGTCCTTGATTTAGGGCAAGTACTGCTGAGCAACTACTAAAAACATCAGTGTGTTATCAACATTATTCTCGTACCAAATCCAGCAGACAGGACTGTACCAGCTGCCAGGCATAAAATTGTCCCAGCTAAAATCAGAACAGCTTTGGGGAGGTGGAGTGCATTACTCCAGCAGCTATGTGCACCCCATGTGACGCCTGGGTACCACAGGCCCACCCAGCTGAACCCCACATCACCAATATGCTCTGAAACACCAAGCATCTGGAACAGATGACAGCATAGCTACAAGCTTTTGTGTAATGTGGTATTCTTAAGACCAATTAATGCAGTTTGGTCTTGAATATCAGAATACAGATCATGCTGGAAAGCTCAGGCCCCAAAGGGCATTGGATCAGTTTTGTTTCCCCACTCCAAACAAGCACATCTAACTCCAGGTCAACAAACAAAACAAAACAACCACACAACAAGCTGGTAGCCTGAGGCTTAACTGACCAGTTCTCAAGGATTTCCCCAGCTACCGCACAACAGACAGCAGATTCAAAAGGCATTTCAAAACACCAATCAATGGCTGCCAGACACAATATTCTTTCACTACAGCTAAGAAACTATATCTTGTGGGATTAAAAAATACCAGCTTGAGAAGCTTGACCGTGTTATTATCTGCCTAGCCACCCTCTTAGATCGTGAGACTTCAAAAGGGAACATACTCTGTGATAGAAGAGAACAAAATGTTACCAGCTCAGCGCCTGTTCAGACTACAAAGCTGACCACACTCAGCTGCGCACCCGAGATCAAACCTCAGGTGGCATTAAGAACCAAATGTTCAGCCGAGACAGATCACATGTGCAGATCCAGGAAAACAATTGCCTTAAGAGCCAGCCACCGGCCTACAGTCCAACTTGGCGCTGCTTTTGCCGGAGAACCTGCTTATATAATTGCAGAGATGCCCGGCTCCCATGGCAACAGTTTATATAAGTGGCTGTGACTCAGGATGAGAGTTACCACCACTCGGCTCTTTAAAGAGACACCTCCGGTGCCGCAGCCATGGTTTCTCCGCAGGCCTAGCCGGGATCCGGCAGGAGGCAGCGGGTCCCGGCTGATGAGCCCTCCCATCCCCAGGCCAAATCCTGGGGGCGGGTCAGACAGGCCAGGCGGTGGCCGGGTGCCCCCGCACGGTCACCCCGCCGGGCCCGGGAGCTCCTGGGGTCCGGGATCGGTCCCAAGGAGCGGCAGGGCGACCCGGGCAGAGCCATCAGTGCCGACCCCGCCGAGAAGGGCAGGGCAGCACGGCCTCGCCGGACACACGTGTCCCCCCCGCCACCGCCGCGCTCCCTACCGGGGCTCGCCCGTCCCGCCTCGCTCGGCGCTGCCGCTCCCGCCGCCGCCTCCTCCTCCTCCCGTGCGGCCGCGGGGCTGCCGGCGCCCGGCGGCGAAGGAGACCCGGCGGTGCTGCCGCCGCCGCTGCCGCTGTCCTGCTCCCAGCCGTCCCAGAGCCAGGGCCGGTGCGCCTGCTCCAGCAGCCGGCGGCTCAGGCGGTAGTGCAGCAGCTCCAGGTAGCAGGCCCCGCACGACTCCCACTTGGGCTCCTTGAAGCGCTTCATGTACTCCGTCTTCACCCGCCGCGCCGGCACCACCATGGCGGAGCCGGGAGCCGCAGCCCGGAGCCGCAGCCGGGAGCCGGGATCCGCCGGCCGAGCCCGCCCCCTCCCGCTGCTACGTTTAAATCCAAACAGCGGCGTCCGGCCACGCCCCGAGCGGGGAGGGGCGCCTGCAGAGGGGGAACGGGGGCAGGAGGCCGAGAGAACGGGATGGGATAGAATGAAAATGAAATCCAGTATAAAATAAATCGTAAATACACCCAAGCACCGCAGCCCTGGGCCCAGCAGTAGAGCCAAGTGAGGCTCCGGGAAAGCCTCCCCACCTCCCGGCTGATAGGCAGCCTGGGTCGGGACACACTGAAACCCGGCGGGTCCGGCCAGCGCGTCAGAATTGATGCAGCAGCAGCGGCAGCGCCTCCTGCGTGCGGCATCCCGGGTAACCGCAGGGGAGCTGCTGCCTCCCGTTCTGCTTCTCTAAGAGCAAAGGATGCGCAGCAGCCGGGGCCGGACGGAGGGAGGCGAACGCCTCTGCAATATCAGGGACCTCTCTCCATTTTGCACTAATCTGCTTTAAAAACCCGTCGCCAGAACAGGATTCGCCTAATCCAGCCCTGCGCTGGGCGGCCGCCGTCTCTGGGGATACGAAACGCTTTAGAGACAAACACAGAAACCGGGGCGGCCTCTGCATCCTCCCTCCGCCCTCCTGCCTGCCCGCACACGGACACGCACCCTCGGCTCTTCAGCGATTTCTGGATATTTCCTTCTCTCACACACCGTATTTAGGGCAGAGCAGAAAATCGTGCCCCTGTGGGACACCATCGTCCTTGAAATGGTTTGCGGTAGAGCCTTTGTCGCAGCATCGCGCTCACTTCACAGCCCCCCACTGGGAGGGGACGGCGTGACCCCCCCGCTGCCCGATGGGCTGCGAGCGCCCTATTTTGGACACCTGCAAGCCTGACTGCCCCTGCCATGCGCAGGCTCTGCACAGAGGCGCTCCGGCCTCCTCGCCAGCCCCCGCTCCGACACACGGGGGCACTGACGGATTTTCAGAAACGGTCCTAGGAAACTGTTCCTTTTTTTTTTTTTTTTTTTTTTTACTAATAAGGAAGCAAGCAGTATTTTATTTTTTCTTGCCTCGCCCTGTGCGTCCCCTGACTGACACAAATAAAAAACCACAAGCTGGCAGGGATTCCCGGGATGGTAAACGCTGGCCCAGACTCTTCCAGTGAAACAAAAGTGTTGGTGGCTTTAGAGTGAGGGGGCGAGTGCTACACGCAGCACCTCTGCCTGCGCGGCAGAGTGATGCAATGCTCGATGCAGCTAATAAAACCAAATTGACTTAGTTTAATCGATGCTCAGATTGAGCAATATTTAGCCCTGTTTCTGTGTGTACTGGCTCAGGCTTTCCAACCCCGTGGTGCCCAGGCATGAGCGAGGTGGACAGAGATGTTGCCTGACCTTTGCAGAAGCACCTGGATATCTCCCTCCAGCCCTTATAGGCCCCAGCCCTTGCAGTTATGTCAACAGCAACCGTGACAGCAGGATATTGGAGAAATCCAGTGGGTCCCTCTGGATTTCTCGATGAAATCCAGTGTGCCCCTCTCGATTCAGGAAAATACAGTCAGGAGAGGTCAATTGCAGCGACATCCAGTGCCTGGCGCTGCAGGCAGACACGCTGCAGATCTGCATCCATAAACCTGCTAAATTCCATTTTAAAGCCCGTCCTAACCTCCCCAGCCCCCTTCAGCTCTGCCTGCTGCTCTCAGGGATGGGTGGTGATAGGGCTGCCAGGGAGGAGAGTCTGGGCAGTGTATTTACTGGGAAGAGGGGCACAGAAATAGCAGGGCACCTACCCCTGCTCAACAGCCTCAAAAACGAGAGACGAGCTCCCTCTGAGAGCTCCTTCTCTCCGCGCCGTGACGCTCACGGTGCCCTGCCCAAGGCAGACACGCAGGAGCCTTGCCCGCATACTTCACTGGAATAAAAGCAGGCAGATGCAGCCGTTTTCTCCCCCACCCAGTGCTATCCTGAGGATTATATTTGGGAGCTGCCTCGCTTATTTACTTTCCCCACTGAGGGCTCCAGTGGCATCTGCGTTGTCCCTGATGCCTTCTCCTTTTGCACTTAGTGGTCCCGCTGGGGTCCAGCCATGTCCTCAGCACCACCTGCTGTAACAGAGGGTGCTTCTTGGAAAATAACAGGGAACAATAGGTTTAAAAACACCTGTAACTGAAGACAGCGCTAGAGAAAGCAGCTGTAGCAGTGCTGTCTAGAGAGGAGAGCAGATTGCTCCCCAATTAACCTGGACTCTGGTTTCTTACTCTGATACTGTGCTCAATCTACACATCTAATCTAAGTGGATGTCACATAAACAGGCAAGGTCTGGGGAGTGCAGAATTCCTTTCCTTTTATAAAATGTTATTTTGTACAAAATGTCATTTCAAACTAACCTGCACAGTTTTGGCTGATCACTTGTGGGTATGAAAATGCTGCTGTTCTTTCCACGTATTTTATAGTATCAATCTTTCCTTTCCCAAAGGTCTTCTATTCTGTTGTCCTGGTTTCAGCCGAGATAATTTTCTTCTAAGTAACTGGTACATTGCTGTGTGTTGGATTCAGTATGACAATAATGTTGGTAATGCACTCATTACTCTAAGTTCAGGACTTTTCCGTTTCCCATGCTCTGCCAGGTGCACCAGAAGCTGGGAGGCAGCATGGCCAAACTGGCCAAAGGGGTATTCCACACCATAGAACATCATGCCCAGTGTATAAACTCGGGGGAGTTGCCCAGGAGCCACTGATCACTGCTCGTGGGTAGGCTGAGCATCAGTCAGTGGATGGTGAGCAATTGTACAGTGCAACACTGGTTTTTCTTGGGTCTCATTTCCTCTCATTTTTATTGTTATAATTGTATGTTATTATTGTTATTATTATAATTGGTACTATTATATTTTACTTTATTTCAATTATTGAGCTGTTCTTATCTCAACCCACAAGTTTTACCTGTTCTTTCCTCCTATTTCTCCTCCCCATCCTACCAAGGAGTGAGGGGATTGGGCAAGGACCGCACAGTACTGAGTTGCCAGCTGGGGTTGAGCCATGACACCAGTTTAAAAAGACACAGTTGTATCAGAGGTATATGGATGTTCTCTGATGGCTTCTCTATCAGGAAGGAATTGCCTTTTGCAGAAACAAACTTCTTCTGTAGTGCTCATAAACCTACTGCCCAGTCATTAATCCATGTCTCATCCATCACACAGGAAATGCCAGTATGACAGGCTCCAGCTCCTGGCACACAGTCTGAGTTCCCATTTTCTGCATTTTTTTCCCCCTAAACTCTGCACTCCTCAGAGAAGGCACCTAATCTTCACAACAGCCTGCAAAGTGTCAGTGTTTCACGATTAGCACAGTGCTGTTAGCAGCTGCCTCCACCCATCCTCTCCATCGTGCCGCACAGGGTGGTGCTCCTGCTGACCTGACAATGAGCACCCGGCTGCCCGAGTGGTACCGGGTAAGCTGCACCTTCACACTCCTGCTCAAGTTTCTCCTTCACAGTGCAACCCTCCCAATCCAACAGTTTGCAGGTACATCCCACAGAGCCTGGGGCAGGGGCGGCTGCAAGGCTTGGAGACCGACTGGGACCGCTTGTGTAAGAAGACTGGTGACAGAAGCGAGCAGAGACACCCGCAGAGCTGATGTTGTACTTCACACATTACCTGAGGCCGATGCAAGCAAAAGCCTGGATGTGGCTGCCAGGCACCTTCCCCATGCCCTGCCACAATCTAATCTGGACATGTACAGTGCAGCAACCACCAGGCAACAGGGCCCAACATCCCAAACCGGCTGCAGAGACATTCCAGCTCCAGGACAGGATGCTGAGACCATCCCGGGTGAAGAGCAACTCCTCCCTCACCCCTGCAGCTACAGCCAAGCAGCTCTGTATGTGCCAGACAAGAATCATTCCCCGTCCTCGACACAGCAGCTCTGGATATTCTCAGTGTAGCTGTATAAACATTATTATTAATTTAATCCTAATGAGTTTTGGCTTCAATACCTCATGGCAGAGACTTCCATGTACTGAGAATAGCCAGCTATTAAATGATTCCTAGATGAGGAAGTACATTTATGAGGCTGATACTAACATTAGAATTTCCTCCCTTGCATACTTTGCTGCATTTTTGCCTTCATTAAAAAATGAAATAAAGACACCATTTGAATCATAACACTGAAATTCTAAACATGCTTTTTCCTTTTAAAGCACTTTTTCCCTGAGGATCTTATTTACTCTTCTTAATCCCTATTATTGCTTTTCTACACGTGGCAAAACAGGTGGCCAGGTGGGTCAAGAGTTTCTGATCCGATCCATGACAGAGGACTGGTGCCAAACCCCAGGAGTCCCAGTTTCCTCCACTACCCCCATTTGAATGGCAGCACCATTACAACAGGGAGGGCAGCAGCCTGGACTGGGAAACAGCCTGATTTCTGTCTGAAATAACCACAGCAAAGTCGAGAGCAGAGAGATAACCTGAGTTTTATGCAAAAAGTAGCAAGTAGTGAAAAACAAGCATGGATGTTATTTTGCAGAGCATGGTCCAGAAAAACCCTGGATAATCACACGGGTAGTTTACAAGTGGCTTTGACTTGCAGCCTTTTGCCTTGCCCCTCTCCCTAGCTCCAGTCAATAAGGGGAATAGTGGACAGTTTATATGTAGTAGGAGTGAAAAAATTACATGTCAACACACCTTTCAGATCCACAGACTGGCTTCCATCTGGCTTCCATGCTGGATCAGCAGCTGTCAGAGTCTGAAAGTGGGCTGCTGAGTTTGCTTAGGTAAAGTCTGGAGGAGAAAGAAACCAGGGAAAAGTAATTAGTTGCTTCTTAAAGACAAATGGATTTTTAAAATATTTAACAGCATAAACTTCAAATCAGCAATAAAATTTTGCCAGATAGGGAAAACCACAATCTTTCCAGAGCTGTAAACTCTGCTTTCACCTAGATCAGTAAATCTTTGCCAGATACCGGGGTAGCTGTCCCAGTCACATCACAAAACAAGCCATCACGCTGTTAATAGTAGCCTGGTTAACCCTACCAGTGCCGGTTCTTTGGTTTCATGGACTATTATCCATTTTAGGTCGACACCAGCTGCCCACAGGGTAATGCTCTCATGGGAGAAGGATCAGAAGAGCTGCTTCAAATGCTCTTAGGGGCAGGTTAGTCAGCAGTAGTGCACTTAGCTGCAGAAGTCTCCCAGAACTGCCTGATCCTGGTATCCAGAGTTCTGGGAAACTTGACCACAGCTGTTGTGAGTTGCAACCTGCTGGGGAAGCCCTGCAACCCCTCTCTAGCAGCTCTGATCACAAATCTTGTTATTTGTGCAAGTCTCACATTTTACTAGAAGCAGATTGAAGCTTTCTGCTGTTACACCCGAGT